GTGAGTATGATTCATTATTTCTATTTCTTTTATTACTCATGTGTGACAGTGCTGATCCCATGAGACGCTCAGAGCACATCACGTTGCTGTTTAGCCGTTGTTTTAACACGTGAATAGTCTCCCGATTTTTGGAAATGGGCTTTGCCGTCTGCTGGCTCGGCGTTTAGAGTAGTTATCGGTGACGGATTAAATCTGTAACGATTCGCTTTTTACCTGACTTTTTTGCTAAATGGAAGATTTAATTTTTTTTCATAGGCGTAAAAGTGGTGGAATTTTGCTCTGTGCATGTGAAACGAGTCAGTGAAGGATTTACCACAGAAATAGAAAATAAGTTTAATAGATAACATCAAGCTCAACGCGAAAGGACGGTAATGATGATGTTTAATTACACCATCTGTTAGGCCTATTGTTTAATCAACACAGCCGGTGAAATACGGGCTTCCGCCGACCCAGTCGTATTATGACAGTGTTGACAAGCTAGAGTTCAAGGGCAGACTAGTGTCACCGTGCTAGAGCCGTGGCCAGTGAACCCGATACCATGGGATAAATAGTGCTGGTTGTAGTGACAATGATGGTTTTGTCAGTGAGACCGACTCCTCGGCGTGTCAGTTTTACGGTGCTGACGGATGGTGAGATACGAGTGTTGGTGGTATCATCCGATCGACAACCCTTCCCCAGTCCATTTATCGTCACCATGACTAATCGATCTCATTGCCTGTCGAGTTAGCGTGGCATCTTTATCGAAGAGTGACAGTGTTTTCATTGGAACAAATCTACAGCAAGTGTTTGATGCCTGTGCGGCGGCGTGCTGAGACCGAGGGAAGTGTGAAGGGCTAAGGGTGCGGGGAGAGGTGTTGCGTGTAATAGAAGACCGCGAATTCCGCCCCAGATGATGCGATGTTTACCTTCGAGCGGGGTCGTCGGAATGATTACATTCCTCGAGTGTGTTGGCGGAATGAATAATACAGATCGTGGGAGATATGATGAAGATATAGTGAATAAGTAAACGCGATGGTGATGTGTTGAGAATACGTGTTGTTCAAGGTAATTGAATAATGATAACAGGTAAGATAATGTTTATTCAAAACATTATTTGTGCAGAAAGAGGAGCTCGGAAGAAACCGGGCAAATAGCAGAACGAAGTCATTATTTCTTTTCAGATACGATGTGATTCAGTTCTCGAATTTAATTCTAGTGTGTTAAAATATGGTTGGATGTGTTTTAATTATTTCCACGCTTATGGAAGCCCAGAGCGTGAAACTGGAAGGCTAAGGACGGAAGACAATGGAAGGTGCAAAGGAAGAAAAAAAAGGGATTAATTAATGCAATCTGCCAGGTTTATGCAACCAACAGAACGGTGATGTCTTCATGCAGTGTACACGTAGCCAGGGAGCAGATGAAGGTGGATCCTAGACATTCATCGAATCGAATTAAATGGATAAAGGGGCAGGGGCGTGCATATTGCAAGAGAGGGAATATGTGATAATAATGTTATTGATGTTTATGATAATTTGATGATGCGATATTAATAATAACAGTAATGATAATGATAATGGCAATGATGATAATGATAACAATAATAAGAATAATGTTAATGACATATGATGGGAATAATAACAAAGATGATGAAAGGAATGACAGTGATTATAATGATTGTAATGACACTAATTTTAGTGACAGCGATAATATGATATCTATAATATGTTATGAACAGTGATGTTAACAATGATGAAAGTGATGATAACGAACAACATGCAATATAAGTAGGAAGACTAAAACAGCGAGGCTTTTAATGGAGGTTGAAATTAGAGAATGAAAGAAAGCTCTGTGTCTAAACCGTTTCAGTCATCACACTTGCACCTGCAGCGAAACCTTTGTCCGAGATATAAGAAGAAGAATCCGCTTTGTTCGAGACAAAACTTAGTTACTGTAGGACGCGTTATGTCAGACGAGTGAGAGATTCAGTGTTTATAGTGTATGTATACCTGTTTGAAGTTAAGCAAGGGTATGCAAGTGTGTGTGTGTTTGTAAGTATATATATATATATAGATAGAAAGATAGATAGATAGATAGATATGTATATATTTTATCTATGCATAGACTTTTATATATGTATGTATATATATATATATATATATATATATATATATATATATATATATAATATAATGTGTGTGTGTATACGTGTATATGTGTATATATACGTATATTTACATGTGTGTGTGTGTGTGTGTGTGTCAGTATGTATATATGTTTATATGTGTGTGTTTGCATGTGTGTATATTTATGTGTGTGTATATATGTATGTATATGGATGTATATGTATGTGTATATATATAATAAATATATATGTGTATATTTATCTTGTGTACATTTACAGCGTGTAATAGGCATTCCTTACATACACAAAACGAATGTGTTTGTGTTTACAGGTGTATGTAAGCCCGCCCGCTCTTATGTTTGCATGTGGTATCGCGTGTTTGTGTGATACTAATTTAGACTTGAATTTAGGACTTTTAATTTGTGAGTTTTCTCAGCTTTATATATTTTTCCCAAACTGTTAATTGAATGCTGACTTCCAACCCCATTTTTATTAGCAACTAGGTAAGGGGACAGAGTTCGAGAGGGGAACTTCTATTGGATTTTGTTCTTCCAATCCGGCAGCGCTCGATAAAATTGAGAACCTGGGATTGTAGGATTTATGCATTTTCTAATTTTTCTGCCATGAGTATGGTTTATGTAATTGCAATCGAACCATGCTTTTGCTGCACTGGAATCACGGTTATGCTAAATCTTGTAATGGTGTGACACATGGTTGTCCTTCCATGTGGTCGCAGTGGAGGGATCAATTGTGCGCAAGTATCATCTTACACACATTGTGTATCTCTTAACCCGCCGTCTAAGTAAGCTGGGATTAGACTCTAGCGTGGTGTGGGGGCTAGTGTGTGTGTGGGAGGGGTGTTGGCGGAAGGCGAGTACCTCCGTTGGAAGTCAGTGCAACTCTCAGTACTCGTGGCTGTCTTCCTTTTGCATTGTGCGGACTGTACTTACTTTGATGGGTGTCTGTGGGCATCCGTGATTAACGTCCTTATCTTTGCTTTTACTTGGGATAGCTATGGGGGGAACTGACGTTAACTGTCATATTTATGAAATCAACCATATAGTATGAGAAGTTTGTTTTCAAAGTAGGATATTTCTTTTTCTTTTTATTATTTTTATTATTTTTATTTACATAATGAAATACTACTGTGTATACAATTTAATATTACAGGTGTCTGCTATTAGTTGTCCCAGTTGTGGCTTTCATTTTGTAACGTAAAATTTGTCAGAACAATGAGGATCAGTCACGTTCTTCATAACCAGTAGATATTCATATATAAATATGAGCAATTACAATGTAGCTAATGAACCGCATTACAAGCAACGGAAAAGAGGAACGACAAGGCAAGTTAGAGAGGCTTGTTGGGACCCAGACAGGAAATCTAAGTAAGAAATCAGACGGCCGTGGCGGCAACCAGATAAGCGGCCAATCAACATAAATCAGACGCAAACATTTTGCCTATATTCGCGCGAGGTCACGGGCAACTTCCAATCCTTGTAGAAGGTTTGATTGGCAACTGAGCAAGATGTCTGGAACGCATACCGTTACTAGCAGCTTGTAGGTTGGGCCAAGAGATTTTCAGGGGCATGTCTCAGTGTGTGTTGTGGCGCAGGTATGTCTCGGATGTAACGCATTGCATGTCTAGTATTTGGCCACGGCTGCGTTTTGCATTTAAAGTAAGTTGTACATAACCACTGTGGTTAGTGGGAAACAAAGTGGCAAGTCTTGTATGTAAACGAGAAGGATTTTTCCCGGGTAATCGAGATTTTATGCACTTTCTTTATATATATTGTCTGCATTTACGATGAGTAGGTTATATAAAGTTATAAATAATGTCATCATTGTAACTGGTCGAATTAGTTTAAGATTTATATGTATGAAAAAGAAGGAAAACTGTAAATGCAGGCTGAAGAACCAACAGACTCCGAGACAGTGCGTAAAGTTGTGATGGAATAATTAAAGTTCACTCAGTTGTTTCAAACCTGGGAAAATATTGTCGTGCGGTTACCAGAGTAATGGGTAACCCGTAGATCACAAACTAGATGGAAATGCCCGCACTGCGTCACGCATTCGGAAGAAATGGAGAGTGAAGGCGTAGGATTTAAAGCAGCTTAAGATATCGGTCGTTGGAAGAGAAAGAAAGAACCGGCGAAATGCAAGGGAAATGGATGAATCGAGGCGCCGATTCGCAGACGGCGGCGGTAATTCGCTCGCATTACGTGGGCACGACAATGGCTGCGGGTGAAGGCGGTGGCTCTTGAGTGTCTTGTTTGTGTGCAATCTACGAGGGGGGAGGGGGCAGGGGGTGCGGGAAGGGGGCCACTGGCTTCACCTGGATGCTACTGCTGCTACAGATGGCGGCGGCGTAAATGAGACAGTGATTATAACATTATGTGTTTTGGTGTGGCAAATGGAGCGCGGGTAATTTTAGGTGATAATCTTGGTCTTCTGGGCGGCTGCGCACGCGTGCGCGTGTGTGGGTGGGAGGGGGGAGAGGGAGGGATGGCATAGGGATAGAGGGTAGGGATGCGATGGTCAGAGTGTTATGAATGGAATCGCTGAAAGTCATGTGTTCCAGGTGCTGGGAGTTACTTGTGAATGGCGCTCCTCAACAGGCGTTTAGTGTATTATGTCGGGTTAAGATGAACTCTCAACTACACAAAATATGTTTCATGACATTTTCTCATGTGCCGTCACAGCTCTACGAGTGACAATAATGTGCCACAAGTGGGAGTGTTTGCCACTAATAGACCAATTTATCCGTCGTTTTCCCCCTTTGCTCTTCCTTTGTTATCCATTCCAGTGTTATTTGATTCGTCGAGTATGTTTTGTTGTTTTGATATTCCTTCTGTGTGTGTCTGTGTGTGGGCAAGAGGAAACGAGAAAGAAAGAAAAACAA